GGGGTTCAAACATCCCCTCCACTCTTTAGCGCGGGAACTTTGACAGAAGCCAAAGTGGTCGGAGGCGTCGTAGCGGTAAATTTGCGGGATCCCACAGCGCCCACAACATCCGGCCAAGAGGGTATACCTGGGGGTTTTTAGTTGGTATGCCCTCCATCGGAGGGTCAGTCCCACATAACCCTCGACCCTTCCCAGACTCGAAGGTATGCATAAAGCATTTCCCCTGTCAAAAAAAAATAAAAAAGGAGAAGAGCATAGGCTATTTTTTGTAACAAAAATGAATCTCAAAGGGGGTGCAACGGGGTAAGAAATTTTGTATGGAGATCCAATAAAACTATGAAAATTTGTTTAGCACTGTAGGCTACTCGAGGGCACCATCTAGTTTTAAATACATGCCGAATTGTCAGAAAATTCATACAGACAGAAGACGAAATAGGCTTTTATTACAATACACCCTCCTGATAGATACCGGAGGCCCAACGGTTTATACTGTGGGCGCTGGATGCGGAGGTCTCGGGTACGATTCCCGGTAAGACCAAATTGGAAATTAACTTTTCAAAATTTGTCTCTGATCTGGGTGTTCTAAGAAGTGCCCCAGAGCGAATTCCATTGATCTAGTAGATACTCATAGTATAGGGAATTTCTTACTTTGAGACCTGAGACTAGGTTGTCTCAAGTTCTAAAAAAATCTAGACTCCATGAAAGAAAAAAATGACAATATTTGAAGAATCCAGGGAAAGGCTAGGAGAACTTTAGGAAAAAAATAATTTGGAACTGTTCCGTGTTGGTGAAAAAAAATGCAAAATGCTGCCAGAAATAAAGGCGTTATTGACATAATGTGTGTAACCCTATTTTACATAAAAATCAATAAATACACTATTACTCACCATAAAGTAAACATACTTAAAAATTATTATATAATAATAAGGTTACTTATATACTTTTGTAGGACAATAAAACACATTATAAATAATAATAATAATATAGTTATTTTTGATATAAGTGCGGAAAGTTAGTCATTATTCACGAGTCTCAAGGCTTCTTGGCCCGAGCCAGAGGCGAGGGTCAAGACGCGAGACAAGTGAAAATGACAAATCCGCACGTGTATCAAACGACGTTTTTTAATACATTTGCGAAAAAACTACATTGAAAGTAAAATAAAACAGTATTTAAACAAAACTCATTTTCTGCTACTAAATTAAAATAATGAAATACAACCACTGCAACCATTAGTTAAAAGTGTATGGAAGTCTAGTTCTAACGTGCTGTTTTTGTTTATTTTCTGTAATATCGGTCTGTAACCACTTTTCTTATTATGAAGTCATGGTACTTTTCTTTAAACTTCTTTAGGAACCCGTGCACGGTAGTGAGATACAATTTATCTGTAATACATAGAACAAATATATACATAAAAATCTCGCCTGTCACCCATTCAGGGGTAGGCAGAGACTGTGGACCTCCACTCGATACGTTCATTATATAGTATTTGTAAATAAATATAAGTTTTAATGACGAATGACTTACGTCACAAAGCACATAAATATTAAATAAATATACAACTTCTTTAGTTCTGTGCTTAAGATTTGAAACAACAGTAAATTAAAAAAAAATGGAAAAGTAAAAAGCACTAGTGCGAAAATTCCAACTTTCGGCACGATTTGTACTGTACGAAAAATACCACGTTTTGAGCAACTGTATTAAAAAATAAATTAACAAAGGAATTATTATACCACTAAGCAAAAAGGAAATGAAATTAAGGGAATACAGTAAAGAAGTAAAATAATAATTATTCGACGATTTCGACGGCCTCCATTCAATCATGGCAAGCACACCGGTTTTCATGATATCGCCATCTCTAAGGTCTCAGGTTCGATCCCAGGCCGGATAGAAAACTAACTTTTCTATATTGTCCAGGGTCTTGGTGTTTGTGATACCGTCGTTGTTTTCGATTTTCATAACACAAGTGCTTTAGCTACTTACTTTTTTTATAATAATACCAAGTAGAACGAACAAGTCATGCGTCTTAGGTTAGGTTGTCCATAGCAGTTGCAGGGCACTCAGAGCTTTAAATCGCAAAGGTCTGACGGACACTGCCACTGCTCCTGTCACCTTGAGACATAAGTTACTTACCCTTCGAAGTACTGCTACGACGTACAGACTTATATTGAAGGCGGCTTACATATATTGAACCCACAGTGCCGTTTTGTATGAATTTTACTGATCTCAACCGTTCCACTTCTACGTGTTAACAATGTAACCAAACATTCTTTCACCTTTTAGCGTTCTATAATGCTCTCACACGGAAATTACATCATAAAGAATGGTGGTTCACTTTGTAAATAAAACCGCTCTAATCAGTGGAAGTAACAACTATCACAGTTAAAAGTGAATGCATTGTCAGTGTGTTACGAAACTTTAGTTTACTTATCTAATCATTTTATCATATTATCAAGAAGTTTTAGTTTTTTTGCGATTGTTGCACATTGAAAATTATTTTTACCCGGATCTAAATGACGGTATTTGTTTTTTCAAACAAAATACCAATTTAGGTTCTTTGCACGTCCCATTGACATGGCTGTCTGAGGGAGTACAGCCCCATATCTTTTCTATATAAGTTTTGTTTATAGTTACCCTCTCTATCAACCTCTTGGTTAACCCTTTGACCGCCGTAAACGCTTTAAAGAGTCTTACATAAACTTGGCTGATGCGCCAATGACGCCTTAAGATATATTCCTTATATATATTCCTTGTGTTATTTGTATATTCTAGTTAAGTATGGATTCATAGTTGCATTTTATGATTTAGGAGAACGGAATTAATATAAGGTGGAAATTCATAACACGGCACATCACTATAAGGATCGGCGTCTAAGGAACGAAACTAGTTTTTGCCAGTGGCGGTTAAAAGGTTAATCGGGAAGGGCACTATATGCACACCTATGTAATGAAGCCCGCACTCTCTGTCAGATCCACACTCCAGATCAGCCTGTTTGCACGGACTTTATTCGGTTCTTTGTAAGGCTAGTGTCTTATGTCTTGTCTGTTATGGGCATGCGTGTAGCTTACTACCAGGCTCACGACTTGTTCATCCCGTCACTTGGTATTATAAAAAAAAAAAAAAAAAGTGAGCCGCCCCGGGTGCACATAAAGTATCCTCCCTATTTTCCAGATAGGTACCGGAGCTGTAGGCACATTCACTTCCTATTGCACTCTGCGCGACTAACGGTTGCCACCGCTGAGCCGTCGACTCTAAGTAGACTACCAAATCTCCTCATTGGTGGCGGAGCTGTAAGATACGCTCACTTCCCGACGCCGAATGAACGGCGTTTCTCCAGGACCGGAGTACGTCTAGCTCATCCTCTACCAGCTCTCCGAGCTAGTGCTGGAGATGCCGGTAGCAATGCGGACGTAGCTGCCGACTTAAAGAGCATGCCGCTATTAAGACGCGCTAGCTGCGCACGGGACAAACGTCCCGGCCACTTGCTACGAGGCAGACGAACGTGTTCATCCCTACAGCTAACCACAAGCACAAGCGAGTCGATACCTAAGTCCGAGTCCGCCAGACACGCCCGTGAAGGTGTATCATTGGCGAGGACTCATTCAACTATATCAACAACAAATTTTAAATAAAAAATTTGAATAAATTAACTTTCACATCCTTTCTTTCCCGAAATACCGAGTTACGTAATACATTTAACAGTACGACTTGGTCTACCTGATGGAGATTGATTCCCGTTTTGCGACAATGACCCCTTGTCTGCATTACCTGGAATGTCCGACACAATAGGGGAGCGGACGGATGTGACGTCACGAGCGCCATAACGTCATGTCCTTCGTGACTTCGATGCGTGTACCACTTGCGCAGTACACGGAAGGAACACGTTCGATGACTGGAATCCTTAATATGGTTTCTTTGTAACGTTTTGAGAACTTTTTAGAAATCCCCGTTATGAAACCTCTATTACAATTTATTGTAAACTAATAAATCAAAAAGTATATATCGAGTTCTTAGGTTTTCGCGATTGTTACACATAGGAAATGAAACTATTTTTCCGGATTTAAATCGCGTATATTTGTTTTTTCAAACAAAGCGACGTTTCGGTTTAGCATGTTTTAGCATGTCATAAACCTACACACTCAATGAAGTTTGACAAACCCAGGTCCTTGTAAAAGAAGCCCGTTATTTACCCAGGATGCTGCGAGAGACCATCAAAATTAAAAAGCATCCTAATTTCAACAGGGAAGATGGTTTCTCCGCCAGCATTTTGGGATCCAGTATTTCTTCTGATGAAAAATCCCAACACATAAGACTAACAGACATAAGACTGCAGTACTAATTAATGTTTTAATTTATTCTAATTTCCATTATTAATTAATAATAAATTTAACTTAATAAAAATTTATATTGTTAAAATAAAATAATTTGGAATGGAATACTCTTTATAAAATTAAAAATAAGGTATTTAAATTAATAACTTTTGTAACTAAAGAGAAAAATAGGGTTGCATTAATATTAGACACTGCTTGATGACTGTACCACCTCAGTCAACCGTGACCGTGGGGTTTGTTTGAAAAAACAAATATACGCGATTCAAATCTGGAAAAATTGTTTCATTTCCTATCAAAAAGTATATTTTTAATTTAATAGTTTGCAATCGATTGTAATAGATTCTCGAAACTAAGTAAGCACCGACTTTTATTTTAAAATATCAAAGTAACTGACTCGGTTTCCTTGCGATTTTATTACATGGTATCCATCTGTTGGCCTCTTCGAATATTATTACCATTGCATTGCGGTTTTAGTTGGTACCAAGTGTCCGAAGAAGCAGAGTTAGGAGGTGCCACATTTCTTTGTATGAGATTGGATATCTGTACTAGTATAGTATTATAAATATCTGTGCTTTGTTTTTATTGAACAGAAAGTTAAATAATTTGAAAAATCTTCCAGTACGTTATTTAACATTAGTTGCCTTTAATAAAAAGTTATTTCCTTCTTTCCAGGACGATGGCACAGTAGAGTACTTCAACAACATAATAGTCCAACCCCACCTGAAGCTGGTCACTGGCCAGGGCCGAGGGTACCACGTCCGATGTCGGTACAGGCGACGTGATCTGACCAACTTCCACGTGTATCGCCCTCATGCGGACCGGCTCACCAACTCCCTCACCGATGTTACTAAGTGAGTATCAGGTTAAGCCCACTTAAAGCTGGTGCCACGCCATGGCCGAGGGTACCACGTCAGATGTCGGTACAGGCGACGTGATCTAACCAACTTCCACGTGTATCGACCTTACGCTGACCGGCTCACCAACTCTCTCACCGATGTTACTAAGTGAGTATCAGGTTAGACTCATTTAAAGCTGGTGCCATACCAGGGCCGAAGGTACCACGTCAGATGTCGGTACAGGCGACGTGATCTGACCAACTTCCACGTGTATCGACCTTACGCTGACCGACTCACCAACTCTCTCACCGATGTTACTAAGTAAGTATCTGGTTAGGTCCACTTAAAGCTGGTTACATGCCATAGCCGAGAGTACTACTTCAGGTGCCAGTAAGGAAACTTAGGTACTTGACCAAAATTTACTGCGTCCAGCGATATCGACGACGTTGTTATATGTGTCACGGCTTCATTGCTCCAAAAAGTCTGCCGATATTGAGGAGTATATACGGGTGAAAGCCAATGCTAATATATTTTAATTAATTTGTGGAGAGAGTACCAACTCAACATCTGTCGACGTTCATGAAGATGAGTAGCAGTAGCAGTAGAGCCCCTTGAAAGAGTTCGTCCAGGGAAGTATGACTACCTTACCTATTTCTGGCGCCAAGCAGAAATGTGAGCATTTCTGCGCTCCGGTTTTTAAGGGTAATGGTGCTTGTGAAATTACAGGTACATGGGACTTTTCAACTTATGTCTCAGCGTGATGGGCGCAGAGGCAGTGCACCTCCGACTTTGCGAGTGCGTTATGTATAGACGTGTCGTTTACCATCAGGCGCACGACTTGTTCATCCCATCACTAAGTATCGTAAAAAAAAAAGTTTTATAGTACGGCGTTTCCCAGGCCGGCTACCGGACACCCACGTTGCGTCACACGTCGCAAACAATACGTGTAAATAATAATTAGACATTAGTGTTTTATTGTATTTTATATATATATTTATATAATGTATGTTAGTCTATAAAGCATGTATTTATGGGCCTTTGTAACCTGAATACAAAGAAGTAAATAAAACAGAGGTGCACGAAAGGAGCCTCCCCGCACTACGTTACGTACTTTCCTTTCCTGTACTTCTAACTAATAATCGACGAGTACCTTACGCCTTCCTAGCTAAACCCTTTAACCACAGTGGCAAGCATTATAATATCCGTCCTTCTCAATGACTGACTGTAGCTGCCAGATCTATCCTATCTATATAGGATCTCGAAATGCTGGTTCAATCAAAGACAAATGCACTATAGCAAACGTTTTGTTACTGCTTCGAGCAAAAAAATTCATTAAATAATATTACAACTATTCTATGGCCTTCGCTACACTGGCTGAATTACTAACATGCTTGCTGATGTCACCAAGGAAGTTCCAACAATAATTTCTGATTTAGAATCGCAAATATTTGTGTTTGCAAACAAGCCAATATTACTGGTTTTTTACAGGTCCCGTGTTCACAGCTGACCAATGTAAAAACAAATAGGTTTTATACAAAAAAAAATTGTCTCAGATTTTTATAATGCGTAGAAATGCCATTCACAAAATATATTAATACACATTTATTTAGACCATATTAAGTATACAAGTCTTGTTTTATGATTATGCTTGTCGCGCCCAGCCTCCGTGTATGACCAGCGAACTTACAGGTCACAAAGACAGACTCACTAGATTGGCAGAAATCCGAAATTAGACTTTCTTTTGGATAAAAGACGACGAGAGCAGACGACTGCCTACAATTGTTCAGAAAGACCGTATAATGCTCATAGAGTTCTGTTTTTGTTCCCAGTGACGAATACGACGAAGAATCAGGGCTACTGCCGTCCGTCACGATGAAAATTTACAAAGGGGACCCCGAGAATAAAGAGGTTTGTATTAAAGCCCAAGATCTACTACGAAAGAAATCGAGACATGGAAAACGCAATGATTTTGCAATCGACAACCGTTGACAATTTTAGTGCTATATAGTAGAGGCCTATAATTATATCATCATACTATATTATCCCATAGTGTTCTGATGCCAGCATTTTGTTTACACTAAAGATTGGCACTTTTTACAGTTTTCTGATAATATCTGAACGATATACCAGGATATTTTAGGATCAGAGTGAAGTTTTAGATAATCGTGTTCCATCTTCCACAATTCTTCAATTTTCATCGGGTAACATTGCAGACAAATATGAACCTATGTGACCTAAACCTTATAATACAGGCTCGTATCGCTGTAATACGGAACACCGGTATAAAGTTAGAAAATTGCTGATCTAATATATATTAGAGACTCGCCATCCATTTTTTTGACGTACCTTGCATCAATCAGGATGTTTATCTTCTTCCAGGTGGCGTCTAACGTGAGGATTGGCGACACCCTGACGTTGGTGGTGTCTTTGGAGAAACAGAAGCAATTTGGGATCCTTGTCTCTGAGTGCTCCGTACGGGATGGTTTGGGATGGGCTGAGCAGAGTCTGATCGCTGATGATGGGTATGACTATTCTTGTTTACCTTTGTTCCTTCTCAGTCTTGTTGATAAGTATAATAGGTACTGCGGTGTTCAAAAGGGTCCTGTGTTATTTCTCAATCTCTAAAGGTGGGTTGTGATCATCAGGCAATAACTTTATGACTTTGTTATACTTGCTGAACTTGATTTGGTAACACAATAAATATTATTTATTTCAGTCCAGCTTTGCGTTTCGTTTTTAACTTATTTACATAGGTACTTTTCTTTGGCCTTTGGCTTTCAACCTCGCTGCATGTTCGCGTGCCGAGGAACAAAAATCGAGACTCGGTGCGGTCTTGAAAATCCCGGCAAAAACGAGGCTTTCGAAAAAAAATAGATTTCCTTACATATATAGGTTAGTTATTTAGACAGTCAAACGTGATGTTTTTCAATTATGTCCATTATGTCAATCAATTATAGTTCCTTATTAACTGAAAATAAATCGAAAATTATTCAAGAAATTTTTATTCTCATTTTTTTCAGAAACAAAAGAAGTTTAGTTTCGATAAAGATGAAGTAGTAGTTTAAATAAGATGGTTTGAATTTGAATTTGCATACTAGCGTATGCGGTCACACTAAAATCGATGGTTTTTCTTTCCAGGTGTCCATTAGACGGCGAGATAATGGGTATGTTCCAGTATGCCAGCGACAAACAATCAGCCCGTGTGGCGTTCCCGGCTCACAAGTTCCCCTACACCGCCAGTGTTTACTATACTTGTGAAGTTATATTATGCGATTTGAATCATCAGAGTGATTGTGTAAGTATTGAATAATAGTGACAAAATGGAGACGATGCACCCAAACGTAAATTAGTTTTAGTGCGTCTAACACTGACAGACTTTTCGATGCTTCCAATGAATAACTACGTCAACTTAATTTTTTAGCCTTCTCTATTTTTATTTTGTTTTTTAACTCTTTAATTTTTTACAAAATTCTTTTTTGTTTTCTTCGAATTTTGTTTTTTGTTTCACAAAAAAGGCTTGCGCGAGACGTTAATGGGATTCCACGAAAGTGAAACCCATGTAGGCCGGTCATGACCAAAATCTTGACTTAGATATTTATAGAAAGGAATAATCAATATTACACAGATTAATATCCATGTAAGTACTTTCTTATAATAGATATCTAAATTACCTGCTCCGTTTCGGTTTCAAGGGTCATGGTGCTGGCGAACATACACAGCTCATGAGACTTGTCAATTTATGACTCAGGGTGACAAGCACAATGGCGGTGCTCTTCAGACATTTACGATTTAAAGGTCTGAATGGCATTGCAATTGCTGTGGACTGGCGTGTCTCTTATCACTAAGCGCACGACTTGTTAGTCCGGTCACTTGATATCATAAAAATAAGCTATGAAGTATTTAAAACATTTCACAACAAACAAGATATTCGGTTATATTTATTCGATATTTTTTTATTATAAAGTTTCTCAGTAGCACTGTGTCAGGCTATCAAATACATTTGTATGATAATTAAATTTGTTAAAATTCAACACTACAAAAGCAAGGGGGGGTCAGATAATAAAGTTTGAGAACCTCTGCTCTAAACTAAAGGTCGGTTACACGAGAAAAGCGTAAGTGATGACTGGCAATAAGTAAATTGCTTGGTTAGATTAACAATTTCAAAGATGGTGCATTAATTAACAAACATGCCTGGTAATGTTGTTTTATTGACCACATAATATATAAATCACGTAACCTGGCCATTATTTTATTTTATACGTAATTTTCTTATTGATAACCATGATGTAGATGGATTGATCTTCAATCAAATCTAGTTTGAATTTATACGAATGGAACATTTACATGAAATATTCTGACTGATTAATAAACATTACTTTGGCAACACAGAGCAGTAGTGATTATTTTGACGATTGGCTCAAAAGTACAAAGTACCCAGAGCCGCAAAACCAATTTTTAAAAAAGCCAGACGTTCTATTTACGTAAAATACTTAGCCACTGATTGTAAATTGAAACTTGTTTTTTTAATTGATAAGTACTGTTTGTTTTGCATTACACCAGTGTGGTATGGGCCAAAATTTCTCAGAGGAGGTCCGTGCTTTTGCAAGGACGTCATTCATCTATCTTACTTTTAACACACACACTAAATTAAAAAGATGCAATTATGCCGACTAAAGCCGACTAAACATTTAAAAATCAAAATGGATGTTTTGATTTGTCAAGGGCCATTTTTATTTGTTGGCACTTCTATTGTCGCTTTTATCTGAATAACTTTTGAATTTGTTTTAATTAATATTTAAATAGAAAAAACTACGTTGAAAGTAAAATAAAACAGTATTAAAAAAAACTCATTTTATTACTTTGTCTGATAAAAATTCAAAGTACAATGGCAACGAAAAATACAATGAGCAACTGTATTAAAAAATATTTTAAGAAGCCTCGAGACTCGTCAATAATGACTAACTTGCCGCACTTGTATCAAAAATAACTATTAAAAAAACTTTTGCCATTCTATATGCCGTTACGTACATGCACTCTTCTATGGGCCACGGGTCACGAGGCTTATTGTAAAGTCTCTCTTGGCTCACCTTATCGCTCATTTGATGCTACATTGACGTAATTGTAATTTTGGCACAATTCAATTAAATATGTTAACACAGTGTGTAATATACTTAATAAAATTTTGCCAAAATTACAATTATACGTCAATGTAGCATCAAATGAACGTTATGTTTTTTTGAAAAAGTATTGAAAATTTTCTTTACGATTGTTTTATTGCGTTAATGCACATTTTGTGGAATTTTATCATTAGAAAGAAACATCAAGTATGTAACCAGAAATAAAGACGAAGTAAGGGACACCCGTCAATTGTTCCGAATTCGGGCTGGCCAATCGGAACGCAGTTGTCACCGTAATGATATGGCAGAATAGTTTTCAGACAAATTAAACATTTCGTCTCTACTTCTAGTTATGTACTCGATGGAAATAAATCTACGGACCAAAATTGCGTACATGTATTGTTTCATATAAACCATGGGTTCCCAAAATTTTTGTTTCGCCGCCCACTTAGGCGAGATAAAAAAATATCAATGCCCACCACCACAAAAAACAATAGAACACACGTACCTATTGTTTATATTAACTTAACGCAAAAAAATCACAAGGAAAAAAAAAAAATATAGTGTGGTTTATATATATAGATAACATAATAGGCTAGGGATCACTTTGGAAAACTATAATTTGTACCAAAATTTCGGGCCCTTTACAAGTCCCATGGTTATGGGCAACTGATTTCAATGCCAATATATTTACGTGAGTAATGATTTTACAGGAACCATGTGCCCATAAACACAAACGGCTGCGTCGACAAGCCGAGGAATCTCCTGCTAAGGTGGAGGTGTTCACAGGTCTCTACGTCAATGAGGCAGATTCCGTTGAAAACGAAGACGTCACCAGCGAAAAGGTCAGTACTGTAGAGATCTTATTTTGCACAATGTTTATAATGAAACTAGTGCGAGAGAAAATTCTCAATAGTTCTGTGAAGAAAACTGTCTACTTATTAACAGAACAAATGCGAGAAAAAATACCAGTATTTCTGTCAAATGAACTGTACCTACAACAGAAGAGCAACGCCTAAAGTTTCATGCTCATTCAGAAGAAGAATAAAAATAATAATAATAATAATAATAAAGAAAAAGGGAATCTACCTTACGAATGACCAGTAGTTTAATCAGTATGACCATTTCGAGTGTAATTTGCTTATCTATGAAATAAAGATTAATTGACTTCATCGAGTGTATAAACAGAAATAGAGACGAAATGTCATTTAATTTGTTTGAAAATTAACTACTACTAAGAACTATTCTGCCAAATCATTACGATGACAACTGCCCTCCGATTGACCAGCCCGAATTCGAAACAATTGACGGGTGTCGTCAATTGTTTCACTTCAAACTGACCAGTTTAACTTGAGCTTTGCTATAATGGACGAAAGTGGAAAAATTACCTATTTAATATTTAATTAATTAGCGATGAAACGTGATTCCGTTTGTTTTGTAATTAAATATTTCGCTGTTTCTCCCGCACCACCGAATGGAACAGCCCCCCATTGTTAGCGATATTACCTTTATTACAACAAATACAGAATATTTCTGGAATATACGGAGATGTACACACAAGTCAGTTGTTAGCGTTCTACTATTTTAGCTTTCTAATTTGTGACTTCAGCGCAAACGCGGTTTGCCGGGTACGGATGGCCCTTATTTCGTCTCTATTTCTGCTTATATAGTCAACATTTGACTTAGAACTAGTGGAAATAATCTGGATTCACACAGCAGATTTGTGCCTGCTTGGCTTTTGAAGTAAGCGATCCGATCTAGTTCAATCGATCAACTGAACTGGTTCGGTCTTCTACTTCGTTTAGTGTGCTATTAGGCAATAGTAAACTTTATTAAATATTTCAAAATCGAATTTTGTACGGAACCGGTACTATTTGTTTAATCTGACAGATCGATACCTCCAAAGAACACTATGCTAGCTTAATTTTTGGCTGTTCTGTTTTTATTTTGTTTTATGTATGCCATACAAACATTTGTCCCGGCCCGGGAACCGAACCTGGGCCTTTGCGTGGCAGTCCGGCATGGTAACCGTTCAGCCACGGAGGTAGTTAATACATTTATTAATACAAAGATCGAACATTCGAAAAAAATCCTTCGAACCGACGCCTTCTAGCATACCGTAGCAGACGCTATTATACCCAATAAGCAATGGAATGAACCAGCGGACCTCCCGAATTTTTCTGTTTGTTGTCGTGTCCTTGTATTTGGTTTTTTCAACGACTTTTTAGCCGTAGCGCCATCTATGAGAAATCTTAAGTATTTCGTCACCCAGTTAGATACTTTTACAGCTACCACTCCTGGCTAGAGATATCGCTATTCATTGCATTAAAATTTTTTATTGAATTGATATTAGTATTTTTTTCCAAGTTTGTTTTTTGTTTCCTTATTTTTTTTTCACAAAATTCGGGGAGCATAATATTAGTATATAAATATGGCTCACATCCCTAACATAAAAAAATTACTGAAAATGACCAACAAATAAAGTCGGCGAAATGTTCATTGGATATCGAAATACAACAAAAAACGTCGTTGAGTGTACGTATTAAAGACTTAAACGCGCTGGCAGTCGTGCATCTCATTCGAACTTCTACTTAAAAGATATAATTGTCCCATTCGCACCCTTTCTATTGAACTTCTTAATTCCCACTGAAGTGGAAACACTCTTGAACTATTAAGATCGTGCAAGAGGAACTAGTTTAAAACACCGTAATGAAACCTGCACGTCGAAAAAGGTTCACAACCCTTGGAAGGCGTCTAAAGTCCCCAGCACACGTTAGGCTAACGTGGCAAGACTATGGCCTCGCCTGAGAGGAGACCCGTACTCAGCAGTGGGTCGTGTAAATGGGTTGACGACGATGAATAAACCCTATTTCAACTTTAGAACATAAGCACACGTGCCTTCAACTGCATTTCAACTACAATTTGGTTAATTGCAATGCAGTCGTAATGCTGCCCTTACGGTCTTGTACTCAATTATAATCTTGTCCTCACCACGAGTCTATAGAACCTTTGAAAGGCTTTGATTGATTCCGCATAGCATAGAAAGTGTCGAATTGATCACTTTGGAAAAAATATACATATAGTAAAATTGAGGATAGGTATACACTGATTACTATACGGTGAGAAAACACGTTTCCTAAAAATTTTCACGATAGAAAAAACATGAACTTAACTCGATTTTTTTTTATATCAATTGAACTAAATAGAACACGAATGTATACTATACGATATACATTTTTCAAATGGTTTTAATGTCACTTGTAAAAAAATAAATTCTGATTTAAAGCCAGTGTCCAAAGCAAAATGAATAAGTACGGGAAAAATTAGAATTCGAGCTGATGTAGTATCGACTCTTAAAAATATATGTAATGTAATGTTAATTTAATTTTATACATTTGTTACAGAAAGAAGACGAAATCTGCATATCACAACGTAACTTCGCCATCGGAATATGCGTAGCTGGTATTATTTTAATGATCTGTGTGATCGCAGCAATAGCCTTCATTTTGGCTCGCAGGCGGAACCCTAAGACGTACTCACGCACCGGCAGCTCACTGTACAGCGGCCCTTATACTAATACCGGTTATTCACATACTAGTTAAATCAGTAGCTGGTATTTAGTACTAGTTGCAATATGCTAGTGATGTATGTATTGTTGAAATAATTAGAATCAGATATTATACTGAATGCATCAGTTAAAAATCCAAAACATTAAAACAAATAAAAAAACATATACATCGAATTTTACGAAAAATCATAATCAAAATTTTCCTATTTTTTAAATTATTATTTGTTTAAATAAAGCTAAATGAAAATTGTAAGAAAAATAATTAGTAGTCGTGGTCCAAAAGTGGTACATGGACAAGGTTATTGCCGCCATTTAAAAAAATATTTTTAAGAACAATTTAAACATAAGAAGTACAATTTATAGAGAAAAGTTTTTAAATTGTTGTGTTCAATACCACAACGAAGTCAATCCTAGGTAGTTTAGTGATTTACCAATACACTTTAATTTTAAGAATCGGTACCATAAAAAACTTATAATATTATTATGTACTTATCAACTCGAAAAATTTATGGGTGTTTTCTATAGACCGCGATATCTTGTTTTTTTTTTAGCTATTAGTGCATTGACTATAATTGTAAGTCAATGTATTAGTGTTTTTTTTTTTATATTCTTGTAATATTCAAGTAAAACAAAATGCAAGAATTAGGGTTTGCGCCGTAGTGTGTACTCAGGCGTATATGAGTGTTCAATATTTTTAATGTGTTGCAAATATTTTATTTATATATATGTATATATTCAGTGACGGAACGAACAAGTCATGCGTATAAGCAACCGCCTAGCAGTTGCTGTACTTTCAGTTACTATGAATAGGCAAATATAAAGAAACCCATAAATTTTTCGAGAATTTTTTTAAATATTATTGTGATAACTCGCGCATTATATCCGTCCTCATTTATTAATGCAATAATTGTAACTTTTATTATTTTATTATTAATAGTTTTCTACTAAAAGGTTGCCTTACGTACGTAATATTGTAAATAACTTTATATCAACATTTTGATGTAAAGAAAATGTTTGACTAAGTTTTTAGGGTTTTTTTTTTCAAAGGCCGTTTGAAACTTTACTTTGTTTTAATTTTGACTAGAGATTTCTTTTTATAAAATTAAAAAGTATTTTTTTAAATTGTAATATCTCTGTTTGCGATTATGTCGTTGGATTATGTACAGTCAGCATATTTCACCTTTTTTATTGAGGCACTGGTAGACAGCCATACAGCCTAGTCCCGTTAGCAAGAAGTTTGGTTTTAATCGGTCTTTGATGTTTTATATCGGTGGTGGGGACACATTTTTATTGTACACAGTCTTTGGTCACCACTTTTTTTTAATATATCACGATTTTTAACTAAACATTTAGACATGAACAAAGCTAGGAGCTTTTAGAATTATACGGAAAATATTATATCGAGTTATTTTTGAAAAAAAAAAATGTTTTGTGTTACAAAATCGTGATTTTTTTATTTCGATTGGATGCCATATTTTTTAAGTTACATTTAAGATGTTTGGTTATTGCCAGTACGTACTCCGTCCATTAACGGTGCTATTTTTTTTTTGCTTAAATATACTATACTTTCAGCCTTCTCGCTTATATTCCTATGTGTAACAACGAATTATGTCGATGACGATATACGTTTCATAATTACTCCATTGCAATTATTTTTACTTTAGCCATTTTTTTATTTTTTTTTTCTATATAATGGGGTTCTGGAACGATATCGAAAATTCATGTAACGACAATGTACGAATTTTTTTAACAAATATACTGACTTGAAATAAACTTTGTTTTTATTTTTAACAAACACTACCTATAACTTCCACGATCTTTAACCACCACACTACTTGATCTTGAGCTATCAGTCTACCATTATAGAGAACTTTAAGTTAATATTCTTATACTAGCGTCACAGTATATTTATAAAAATGTAATTCATGGTTAGAAGAATAGATATATTTTTGGGAAAAATAGTGACAGACTGCCAGTTCTTGACGATCGTCTCCACAAAGTCACAAATTCATTTAAAGGGGCAATGTAATAAGATTTCGGTTGATATTAAACATTTGCCTAGTATAAAACTAAAGGAAAATACTAAAGATTATTGTACGTTCGTACATGAATGAGAAAAACCCGTATTAAATATTGTAAAGTGTGCCTTATTCCAGCGTGATCATGAAATTTGAACTTAAAATTGGAAATTTGACTAGCCACAAAAGTCGCTATTTAGTCAGTTCTAGTCGCAAAAAACTAGATTTAGTCGGTCCGCCACACAGTGGGCCCAAATTGATAATTCTTGGACATAGGAATAACTTGTGGAGTATCGAGCTATTTGTTTTTTGTATGATAGATAATAACATTCCTAATAACTTTTATTTTTGTATAATTTCTTGAAAAGTTGATACTTTCGGAGAAAACACAATTTTTTTTGTATGGACTTTTTATTTTTTATCTCAAAATATACGAAAATGTAATGTGCGTGGGTTACTTACAATATAGTTTCAATCATTTTCTATGTAGAAAAAAATATTTCGTCTGCATGTACTTGCGGCTTTGTAAGTAAAGATGGGGCAAAATTGTTAACTCTTTTACGTACTTTTTTAACAAAATACATGAGTTTCGACTAAAGAAAAATTAATTTTAGTATAATTTAGAGAGTGTTATAACAATAATACGAAAGTTAAGTAGAAACTAGTATATTGTGTTAAAAAATAAATAATAAATCTAAAATTTTGACACCTTTTTACTCGCAAAGCCGCAAGTACATACCTGCAGACTTAGAATAATAACGCATAGAAACCTAGCCCGCACACGCTAAGTGAGGCAAGTTAGAGGGTTCCAAACGCGTCCCAGGAGCGCGCGGGCTGTTAGTGCTCAAGGTCATATTGCACCGCGAACAGCTCCAAAATTTTTTGCTAAAAATGACGAAATGTGCGGTAAATGGGTGTAAAAATACAACAGACAAACAAAATAGACACTAACATCGCATTCCACAAGTAAGTAATGCGTTTCAACTCATATTTTTATGTAAATATTCACTAAAACAGAAAAATAATTTCGCGGCAACAAGATACGAAAGTGTTGCAAAGTAACGAATTTTTTTTCTCCCCATTTTGCTATTCTGTATCAAAATAATTATATTACGTAAATTTTAGTGGTGCCTGTAATTTCGATTTATTTGCGCATTTTGAACTAATATTTACTCGAATAAACATTAAATGTTTTCGTTAACTCCTGTAAGTGATTGGGACACTTAATTATTTTATAATACTTTTAACGGCTCTGCGTTCATGCTTTATTGAATAATTCTTTATATTAATTTTATTTGAATTGGAGCACATATTGCAACAAATTTACAGTATATATTTGTTTCTACTATAGTGTTGGCACCACCAGTACAACTTTGATAGCTTATTATATGTCTTTCTTTTCGTAACTCACGCGAAATATTTTATATTAAAATATTTTATTTTCTTAAAAGGGGAGCATTCTTAAGCGATTTTTTAATCTATTTTAACAGTTATTTTCTTTAATGTTTGCTTATGGCATTTTCGGTTTTAGGTTTCGAATATGGCACTTATTTCTAAATCCAAGATGGCGGGCGCGATTTTTCGAATAATGGCAAGTTGGGTATCGTTTTCGAGATATTTGGGAATGTTCAATACAAATATGGGACTCATTTCTAAATCCAAGATGGCAAACACGACAGTTCAAATAAAAGCAATATTCGTAATGAGCACCCCCAAATACCTCGAAAACGATACCCAACTTGCCATTATTTGAAAAATCGTGCCCGCCATCTTGGATTTACAAATAGTGCCATATTCGCATTGAGCATCCCCAAATACCTCGAAAATGATACCCACATAGCATTTTTTTGAAAAAATCGTGCCCGCCATCTTGGATTTACAAATGAGTGCCATATTCGTAATGAGCACCCCCAAGTACCTCGAAAATGATACCCATATTGCATTTATTTGAAAACTCGTGTCCGCCATCTTGGATTTAGAAATGAGTGCCATATTCGTAATGAGCATCCCCAAATACCTCGAAAATGATACCCATATTGCATTTTTTTGAAAAAATCGTGCCCGCCATCTTGGATTTAGAAATGAGTGCCATATTCGTAATGAGCACCCCCAAGTACCTCGAAAATGATACCCATATTGCATTTTTTTGAAAAATCGTGCCCGCCATCTTGGATGTAGAAATGAGTGCCATATTCGTCATGAGCACCCCCAAGTACCTCGAAAATGATACCCATATTGCATTTATTTCAAAACTCGTGTCCGCCATCTTGGATTTAGAAATGAGTGCCATATTCGTAACGAGCATCCCCAAATACCTCGAAAAGGATACCCATATAGCATATTTTGAAAAATCGTGTCCGCCATCTTGGATTTACAAATAAGTGCTATATTCGTTTTTCATCGACAAAACCGAGCATATCTGTAGGCACCTGATCGACAATGTCGGGCAAATCTGTAGGCACCTTTAACTTAATGATGAGTTAGCAAGATACAATTTCCCCACTTTTGAGGGAAATGTTATTCCATGGCATCATTATTTGTATATTTGTGTGCATGCCGACGAGCGTAGTTACAAGTTGCTTACGCCTACATGAATTTGGTTTTTGCCTCACTTGTGACAGTTCGTTTGATATGAAACTATCATTCTATGCGTTATTATTCTAAGCCTGCAGATGGATTATGTCAATTTCTGGCGTCGCCATTTTCACATACATAACACGGAAGCGTGCGCGTACGATCGGAGCGCCTGATCGAACTGAACGACGCGCCGATTGCATTTGTCGGCGGCGGCGGCGCGAGGAAAAAGGCGCTCATATCTACGCTGGAATAAGGCACACATGTACAAATGCATTTTATAAAGAACAATCACTAGATGTACTAATTCTTCTCAAGAGAATCTGAGTCACAGTAGTGGAAGTTAATCAATATGACGATTTCAAGTGTAATTTACTTGCATAAGAAACAAAAATATTTTATATATACATATATTTAGAATGTTATAGAAAGAAAAAGCCGAATATTTTTTCATCAATCTGTATATTGGACAGACAAATTAAAAATTATGTTTCACATTCAAAATACAAATAGAACTTACAAATATAAATGTATAGGTACTATACAAATAGAAATAAATTATTTACATAATTAAAAGTTTAAAAATGAGACTACAAAGAAGAAAAAAAGTCTTTTAATACTTATCTCAATATATTTTTCGTGCGATTCACTAAAAATTACACAACGAACAATGAGCATAGACTAAAAGGTATAGTTGGTTTTAAAGAATAGTTGTGCAAACCAAATTTGTTAAATATAAATATTTTTCTTATTACACAGCTACATCGACACCTCCCAAGTAAGTTGTAGTAAGTCAAAATACCATTATTTGCTTTTAAAATTAAATATATCCTTATTTATGTATATTATGGGTGACATTTAAAAGTAAATAAATCACTTAGGCTCAATTTAGAACGTAATGAAAGCGAATTTGTGTAACGATATTGTACATAGCACAAAGAACTTTGTGATCAATTATGTAAAGTATAAACTAGATATGAGCCAAAATCTTTCGCGGAATGCGCCAGCATTCTCGAGCATGGGCGAGAGAGAGATACACAATTGACCATAAAGTGCATTATGCTATGTACAATATCGTTATAAAAATTCGCTTCTTTGAGCGAGGCCCATTTAGATGGAGAGAGTTTCTCGTCTCGAACATACGATTACCGAAAGGATATAAATAACTTTCCTAGTCTAAACATTCGCGATTATCGCCCTTCCACGTAAGCGATAATCGCCTCGCCTTTGAATATTGAACTTCTCCATGTAAACAGAACTTGAAACCAAAAATCGTATTTCGAGTTTGTGTGCCAACTATTTGCTACCAATGAGTACAGAGCGCCAGGATTTTTTGATTATCACTGCTTTTCTAAGACGAGAATTAATGAAACGAGAACGAAAAAACATGTCGGGTTAAGGAATGTTATAAAATTTAAAAAAATAATATATTTCTATAAAGTGCACTACGAGTGTAATGAATCTAATATTAGCAGTAGTTCCAAATCTGAATGATTTTTGCGTCATTTTGATGTATCCATAGTCAATACCGCCGTAATCACTGAACTCGAATGGCAATTCTCGTGTTTAGACAAGTCGAAAACTCATAAGCAAGAATCTTCTTACTATATATTTCTTCTCTTCGTAAGCGTGATTATAGTTCTTGCCTGAATGTAAACATTATGATACGATAATCTTATGGAGATTATTGTTTGCGACAATCGCGTACAATTTTTCGTCACGAATCGTATGATAAACTCTCTCCGTCTAAATGGGCCTTTAGTGTTCAGTTTTAAACATGGAACCTATAATACACATAAAAAAAGATATATTAAAGTGCAAAAAAGGGTATTTTGACTCACATCAACTTACGTGTGAGGTATCGATATTCAGAATATTATATATTATACGATATTTTATTATGAATAAAATCACAAATTCGGTTTGCGCGTACACTACGTGCAAACGTGTGTTTATGTACGCGCCAACTTTGAATGCCCCGCTGAATGCCGTTGTCTTAGGGCCTAAGACAGCTTTTCGAATGATCATCATAATTACTCTATTGTCTATCTTTCCCAGAAAAATGAGTAACAATGGAAACGCCGCAACAAATCAAGATACAGGTAGCTGTCGATAGCGAAACATGGTAATTTTGTTTATAATGCACACCACATAGATGTTATACATTGCTACCACATATTTAACGAACTTTTTGTACAAACTAACAAAGATCAAAAGGGACGTTCACTTTTGAAATGTACTTCCGTAAGAAACCATCACTGTTTAGTGATTAATGGCATTACTCGTGTACACCAGTAACCTATTGCCAATATATTACAGTCAACTTAAATCGTCTTTACTTTCGTCGTAACTTTCGCGATATCTTGCTAAGTAAAGTAAAAACTTTAAGTGCTAATTAGCACAAAGTTTTTTTTCTTTGAAAAATGTCAATTACGCTGATTTTGTATCACAATAAAATCTGAAACTAAATAAGCTATCAAAAAACCGCTTATAGGGGGTTGAAAATCTCGTTTCACAGATATTTTAAAAACTCAGCTTCACAAAAATATCGATTAAGTTAGTTATGACAAGGAAGGTTAGTATTATTGTTATAAAAATTCCAATTTCATTCATAAATACGAAAAAAAATTGTCTAAAATTGTCGGATTTAAAATCAGAAAACATTTGTGTACACGAATATACGTATAAATTTAAGTATCGAACTTTTTTTTTTATTAATTTCTAAATTTAAAACAAGCAACGGAACTACAATGTAGTGTAAAAAAATTATACTTGAAATTTCTAAATTATTCCTTTTTTGAAATTCACAGGTTTATAATGTAATATACAGTCTTATACTATGAAATATTTACATAAATATATCCAAAGAGAAATAATAAGCAGACTCACAAGTGCCGCACAATCACAGCCGTAAGGCATATTTTAGAATACTTTTATAAAACATACAGTCTAATACAACAAAACGTAATTTGTAACAAAAGTAAGAACGTCATGAAGACTATGTTACTTAAATTCAAAATACCAAACATACGTAACTTTTCATTTCTCCCAGTTTTATAGATGCCTGCGCCCAACAGTTGACTATTATAAGTATTGGTACTGGTATCATCAGCCGCACCGAAGTATATATAATGTGTCAAAATTATACATTATGTCATTTCACATAACGTTGAAATTTGCAGTTTACTAAAGTAATTTGTACATATTTACCTGTAGTTGACATTACAATATACGATATTTCTGTAAGTCGAATATAACTACGATAATAATTGACCATACATAGTCCCATTAAGTCGATTCTATAGTTACATTCACGACCAAAAAAAACTCGACTTAACGTATTATTAAGAATTCTGCTTTATTCCCTACCGTGCCTTATTTATTTCACTTGGTCCTACTAGTGTCAATTGATGCAAAACACAAACTGATGCTTGTGAAACAAACGATTGTGTAAGACCAACAAAAATTCGATGTAACGTGTTTTTAGTAATTCTGCTTTATTTCTTACTGTGTTATTTATTTCACTTGATCCTACTATTGTCAATCAGGACTAGTCACACGGTTGCTTGTCAAACAACTGATTGTGTAAGACCAACAACAACTGGAAGGAACGAATTCCGCTTTGTTCGCTATAGGGCTTTTTTATTTCACTTGGTCTTACTAGTGTCAATCGAGTCAAAAGACACACGGATGTTTGTCAAACAGCCGTTTGTGTTTACGACATTGTGAAGTTATTTTCAGTTTGACTTAACCCGTGAGTTTTTAATGAGTCAAAATTATTTTCATAATAGATATAAATGATACTGTTAAAATTTTCACTATAGTTCGCGGAGTAAACAACACTCCGCAGTCAAACCTAACGTCATATTGTAGTTCCGCAACTGCCTGCTCGCCTTTCAACGTACTTTCTTTAACATGACGAAGACACAAGCTTTATTACAATTCGCCGCTTCTCAAGAATAGCGGCCTGTACCAAAGCAGTTGTTTTCGTACTTATTACACAGCTATAATTGTTTGTTATTGTTGCTATGTGCTAAATTTTATTGCCAAAGCGATAAAAAAACCCCCGAGCTTTCCATTAGTTAAAATAATCACAAGACAACATTGGACTAATATAGGATTTATCGGCTTTCCACGCCAAATACGATTTACTCTTGTTTAAAACATCTTCATGATAAATTAGGTGTTTTTAATTAAGCCACTGTTGTATGAAGCAGTTGGAATTGTATTTAGTAGTATAACTAATTCAGATATTCTGAAAAGACACAATAGAAATAAGTCTTGGAAAGCTGCAGGTTTATTCCCTAATGTACCAAATAAATTTCACTTGTTCCTACTAGTAACTTTCAATATCTTCAGTGATGTAACGCGTCATCCATGTGAACTGTCATAAGAGTATCTTCGGGGTGGATCTCTAGTAATGCTTCTGTACCGTCGTTGAATGGAAATGAGACGCTACCATCTATTACGAGACCTGGAAACATAAAATTGCTATGGTATTTTATAAAAACATATACAAAGAAATACAAGTAATTGTAAACGATCTGTACAGACTTGGTAGCTCAGTTGGTAAGAGCGGCGGCCCAGGTGTGGCAACACACACTGGCTCGAGTCCAGTCTAATCGAACGAATTTTTCTTTCTATTTTTATCGAGCTGTTGTTCGGTCTTTGTTACAACAATAATAATAACAAAATGTAGTAAGAATATTTACTCGAAGCAGACTAGGACATAAATAATCGGAGCGGGACTGTGATATTGCGCTCTATCCCCCTTAATAGTGTTGAGCGTACGCTACTCACATGCAAACTCGTTATCGATAAAAATAAAGGAGTCACTAAGGATGCGCGTATGGTGCGGTTCTCTAGGAGTAATTTATACTCCTCCTGTTGTTTAAATATTAAAACCTTTTTTATTTTAATATCAATGCGTTAAAAAATTATTGACGGAAATTAAAGAACCCGCAAAATTAGGAAGTACTAATTTATAACGCACACACACTCAACATAGCCCGCAATAGGGAAACCCTGTATCACGGGTGCCATGAACACACACATAGACAACAACAAAGTACACCGAAACTCACGAGAGAAATAAATTTAGGCCTTACAAATATTTCTCCCGGCCCGGGAATCGAACCTGCGACCTCTGCATGGCAGTCCGGCATGGTAACCGTTCGGCCACAGAGGCAGTTACTAATTATTATATGTATATTTATTAATTTATATATTTAGTTTCAGCTTTTTTAATATTGTAAATTTGTATATTTAATTTGTACTGTATGTATGTAACAAATAAATTCATTTTTACGTCCCTTCCTACTGTAACTATTACAACCTATGATATTTAATGACAATAAAATTAAACGTCATCAAAATCGATAGCATTTATCAACTGCAGTAATATACACAGTACTGCGCTTACACAAAAGGTAAGCAGTAGTAAGTGGAATAGAGCGCGAGGAAATATCGCTGTTCCGTTCCGATAATTAATGACCGACCGAATGGCCTGCAGCGAAAAAATAATCTTATTATCGCAGTATTTTCATAAGAAAAAATATGGATATGATGCTAGTGCAAGCATTATGATATTCAATAACATAAATATAAGAATTTCACTTCATAAAACATTGAAATGAATTACGAAATCCAAATGACACCAAAAAATAGTTGGACTACAAAGAACAAAACTGTGTATATTACCCGTTGTCACCACTAACATAACTAACAAAAGTTTACTCACCTGCGTCTACGCAGTGCGATTTGACCTTCACAGAGGTGGCTCTGTCCCGAACCCGTAGTCCTCTGGGCGCAGGCCATTCTTCGAACGTAATGTACTCACGGACTGAGTACGCCAGGTATTCGGAATCTGTAGAAAAAGAAAACACAACGGTAAAAAGGCCGTTTGAAACCCAATAAATAAGATCCGCAACAAGCAATTTTTTATAATATCAAGAGACGGGACGAACAGTCGTGCGATTGATGTTAAACTACACGCCTGTCCATAACAGTAAAAAGAAAGTATATAGACATCGAGTATATAACCAGAAATAGAGACGAAATGTCATTTAATTTGTTTGAAAACTATTCTGCCATATCATTGATGTGCATACAATTGCGCTCCGATTGGCCAGCCCGAATGCGAAACAATTGACGGGTGTCGTCAACTGTTTCACTTCAAATCGACCAGTTAACTTGAGCTTTGCTATAATGAACGAAAATTGCAAAATCACATATTTAACGTTTAATTACCGATGAAATTTGATTACGTTTGTTTTGTAATTGGATGTTTTGCTGTTTTTCCCACACCACTGAATAGAACAGCACGCCATTGTTAGAGATTTTATTAAATACAAAATATTTTTGGAATATACGGAGACGTACACACAGGTCAGTTGTTGGCGCTGTACTATTTCATCTTTCTAATTTGTAATTTCAGTGCAAACGAGAGTTGATATTTATAAGTGATGCATCACTAATGAGTTACCAAGAATATATGGCACTTATTTCTGGTTATATACGCGATGCATTTAGAAAAGTAAAACAGTTTTGTTATCGGTGGAAATGAAAAACTAGAATTTTGGAACAAAACGTGAGAAACTTTCATACGAGCAGCGTGCGGCTGGCGCGATGTTGATAAGCCGTTAGCTCCCCACCAACCCCGCCTACCCCTCAGACATTCTAATGTTCGCAGGCTGCTTTTTGGAAGTATCTTTTTTTATTTATGTAAAACAAACACAACATGCTAAAGAATTTAAACTTTCTCAAATTTTACCATTTCACAACTAAAAACTTAACTCGTGTCGCTAACAAGTTTCATAAAGCTTTATCCGGATTTATTTGAAATCGTCGTATGGTCGCGCTGTTCTTATCTACTGCACGCCTG